AAACACCAGTCGGGATAAAGGACCGGAGCAGAGCAGAAGAAGAGCAGCAGCAGGTGGTGGAGGCTCGTTCTCACGCCGATAAGGCCGAGAGGACGGAGTGGCTTCACACTGATACGCTGGCTTCCTTTGTGCGTCCGTGTGTGTGTGTGTGTGTCCTACCTTCCTCATTGTGCAGCAGGTGACTCTGTTTCCTTTCAGGTGCCCGTTTGTGTGCGTCTGAGCTCTTACATGAGACGTGAACTGTTTCTCTGCTGCGTATCTGACTCGTTTCCTCCCCCGTGTACCCATGCGTGTGCGTGTGCGTGTGCGCGTGCGCGTCTTTCCCCGTGTCCTGACCTTCCTCCTCTTGCGGTGGATGTCCCCGATGCTGTTGGCCAGCGAGTTGGGTCCCAGCAGCGTGGCGGTGCTCTGCGGCCAGTCCACCGTCACCAGCGTGTGCTCGCCCATCAGCACCTTGCGCACGTTTTCGGCGCCCGTCACGCGGATCAGCGGGCGGCCCAGCAGGTGCGTCTTGAACACGTTGCCGTACTTCTGCCTCCGCGACGCGTGGAAGCCCGAACCCTAGAAAGGAGAAGGGGGGGGGGGGGACTGTGAGAGGTGGAATGTCCCTTTTTTACGGCAGAGACGTAGCCGCTGGGAAAAAGAAAAGCTCAAAAAGCTGAAGATTTATGATTTCACGTCGCCAGATTTTACGCTTTTTAAAATGACTTTTTACTTCTAAAGAAGGAGACAAGCGCGCTCCTCCTCCTCCTCCTCCTCCTCCTCCTCCTCCTCCGTCACATCGGCAGCTACAATAACCACAATCCTCCACAATGACCCCGTGACGTTATTCCGCACAGAGACCGACGAGCCTTTTTAAGTGCAAGCTCCTTGCGAATGATTTTTACGCTAGCTATTAATTTGAAGCAGCCTTTAGGATCCGACCTTCCCTCCGGCTTTGATCTGCACCTCTAAATGCTCTTGAGGGAGTCTTTTTTTTTTTTTTTTTTTTCTCCCTCTCTGTGGTTTGGGGCCCAAACGGACCGTTTCTGGTGAGCCCCCCCACATGCTAAAAGTTACTAATGTTTCCATCATCTCGGCTCCCGGAGCAAAAGTAAACGAATACAGTGAAGGTAGCGGACAGCAGATGTTTAAAAGGCCCGTATACACAGAGGTTAATTCAATGCAAACACATTCAGGATGCCTTCGGGGCTCAAGTTCAGCTGAAACATCTACCGACGAATCGTCGAGGTCAAAGGTTCCCAAAACATTTTGGGCTCCGGTTGCGAGTACAGTAAATGAAATGTCATGAAGACAGGAACCCGATTAAGGGATGTAAGGAGATCTTCAGGGATTTCTTGACGTCCGCCATCTGTTCACCCTTATTCAGCCTCAGAAGCGAGCCGGCGAAAGCCGGCAGCGAGTCGCCGTCCCTGCTGCTTTCCTGGAGGGATTTTGGATGAAATCTCAATGAAGCTCAAGAGATTCAAACGACTAAGTCAAATTGAAAAAGCGCATTGACCTTTCGAGAGGAAACCAGCAGCGGTGCAGTTCGTTAAGCTCTGTCGCTGCAGATGATAAAAGAAAACCAGCTAGAAGAGCCTACGCAGCCCCCCCCCCCCCCCCCCCCCTCGGAGCTGGAGTCAGTTAGCGAGCTGACCCGGGTTCAGCTTTGACGCCGACCTCCAAGCGGTCCGGGTCACGCCCGAGCGAGAGGGAGCCGACCCCAGAACTGTAAATGGGCTGTTTGAGGGAAAAGAATATATATCAGCCTGAGGGCAGCTGACTGTGTCACACACACACACACACAGTACAAACACATGCATGTGCAGGTACACACATACTCCAGATTCATACAAATTTACCAAAAAAAGGGCAAAGCAAACAGACGTGCAGGAGGCCGAACTGCAAATTGCCGTGACAACACTAACTGGTTTGACCCTGGTTTACTCCTGGGGGAAGAGATATGTACACACACACACACACACACACACACACACATATCTAAACACAGGCCAAAGAAGCAGTACTATGAGATTCTGTTTATTTAAAAAAAAGTTTTAGTTCAATTATTGCCCTTTGGTGCATTAACATGAAGAGCTTCAGTAACTCTCGACTGTGTGTGTGGGGAGGAGGATGTGTGTGTGTGTGTGTGTGTGTGTGTGTGTGTGTGTGTGTGTGTGTGTGTGTGTGTGTGTGTGTGTGTGTGTGTGTGTGTGTGTGTGTGTGTATGAAAGACTAATTTTAGCAGAATCACCTCTCACACCGTTGATCACAGGAACAACAGTGGAAATGCATTCTGGGTAAAGCTTCCACTGAATCGTTGTGACAAAGTGTTCATTTTTTCAGCTCCAGCAGAAGAAGCTTCGCCCCCCCCCCCCCCCGTCCCGCTGTGCAGAGCGCCCACTTTCAAACCGCATCGCTAACAGCGCTAATCCCTTCGAACCCGAAAGCAGCGGAGTAAGTCCCGCCCCCCCCCCGCCACAGCGTGCAGCTAGTAGACCAAAGTAACCGCTTCCCGCTTTCTTTCTTCCCTCCGCCGCGACCCTCCCGAACCCTCAGGCCGCAGATCTTTCCAGACCCGCGACTGCAGTGCATTCTGGGCGACGTCCCGCTGCTGCGGGCCGCACGGCGCATTTCAAAGATGGCGTCACAGTCTTTCATCGCGTTCATTTGAAATAACCGTCTTTCTTATTTTCCTCCCTCGCAGACACTCGGCCTTTCTCCCTTTGCAGATGTCGGTTTCCCGCTCGGTCGACGCGTCTGCGCAAAAAAACTGTTGACCTGAACTGTTTTCGTAGCTCCTGTACACTTCCTCTTTTTACAGTGGCACACACACACACACGCACGCACACACACACTCACACACACATTAGCGCGCACACACCAGGTCGGTGGCTGGCCTCTGGAGCCCTCAGAGTGAGTGTGTGTGTGTGTGTGTGTGTAAGAGTGGGGTTGTTTTCCATAGATGTAGAGTGGTTTAGTATGTCTGCCTGGCAGGCCTGCTCACACACACACACACACACACAGACACACACACTGATTCAGAGGGAGTTCCTCGGGCCCTCAGACAAGGCTCCCTTTCACACTCTAAGATACAGCGTCAGATTGGGCCGATTGTGTACGTTCTTTTTAGTCTGTGTTTGTGTGTGTCTGTGTGTGTGTGTGCAGCTACGTGCATTGTCTGTGTATGTCCTCTTGTCATATCTATCTATTTCTATTCACGCACAGGATACTGATTTTAATCTGTCCTCGTCCCCGTAATATAATAATAAGAAAAAAAGTTATACTATAATAAACTCTGTGTGTGTGTGTGTGTGTGTGTGTGTGTGTGTGTGTGTGTGTGTGTCTCTGCGCGCCAGGGGCGTGGTCTGGATGACATTTAGTGTAAGAGGTGAGAAGTGTACCCCCCCCCCCCCCTTCTCCCTCTTAAACCTGGCAAAACACGAACACGCACACACACACACACAGCATGGAAAGTTGTGTAATGACGCCACAGAGGAGAACGCGCACACAAAACCGCACACGGGATCCCAGCACCGAGACACGCGCACACAGACACACAGTCGTCGCCGCGGAGACGCAGGCGTCACCGCTCCGCACTGATTGCGAGGCCTGAAGCACACACTTTGGCTCCGAGCTTCAGTGAAGCGAAGGAACCGTCGCTGTAAACACAAGAAGGAAACAACAACAACAACAACAACAACCGAGAACCAGAAACCAAAATCGCCGCCGCAACATCCCGGCTGAGTTCACCGCCGAGGTGATGAAAACCACGACGAGGTTATTAATCGCCGCCGCGCCGACGTGCGCCATGTTTGTGAGGGACGACACAACTGCTGCTGCCGAGTCACCCGACTGAAGATCAGAACAACCTGCAGTGCGTCGGGGTTAAAGGTCATGTACACACCAGTGAGGGTCAGGGAAAGTGTTCAATAACAAAGTACAGGGAATACCTGTGTGTGTGTGTGTGTGTGTGTGTGTGTGTGTGTGTGTGTGTGTGTGTGTGTGTGTGTGTGTGGTGTGTGTGTGTGTGTGTGTGTGTGTGTGTGTAGGTAGCTGACACAGACTCCCTTTTATATTTTCTGAACAAGGATTTATCAGATGTTTTACAAGAACCTCAATAAAGGAGGAAGAACGAGGCGTTCCTACGAGGTTTTTCCACGCCGTCTCACACACACACACACACACACACACACACACACACACACACACAGACACACACACACACACACACACATAGAACCTTTCATTACACATTCACACACCACACAAAAGGAATTCTGACAAACGCCACCTGAATCACAGAATATCTCATAAATCTCCCCCTTCTCTTTCTCTCTCTGTGCGCACACACACACACACACACACGCACACACACACACACACTGTCCGAGCAGCGCTAGCTAGCGCGCCGGCCGTGCTAAAAATACCCCCGTCTGTTCTGTTGGGGTTGGCTTGGGGGCAACCCGGGCCTCCGCTTATAAATGTCCTCTTTGTAGCGCAGTGGAAATGTCCAACAAATGACTCTTTTATTAGTGCAAGACAAAAAAACACGGCTAATTATGTTTACTCAGATCAACGCCGCGGCCCGGCGAGCGAGCGAGAGAGAGAGAGAGCACATCTGGAGCCGTTAGAAAACATTAAGACGCTCAGACGTTTTAGAGAAAAGGGGCTGATGGGAAAACAGTAGCAGGAAGCGAAGGACGAGTAGGAAACAAAGAGCCTTTTACTGGCGGATACGTTGGGCTGAAGGGAGGAAGACATGAAAGCTGAAGTTCGCTTCATAAATGGTCGCCTGAACTAGGGGGGGGGGGGGGGCGAGATGGACCACCGCGTGGCTCCCTTGGCCCCCCGGTAGGAACGGGGAGGAGTCGAAGGCGGGCTGGGGGAAACGACACTCGTTTTCTGGTGGACGGGCGAGAAAAAAAAAAGCTGCGTCACCCGACGAGAACAAAACGAGAAGTTTCGATCCTAAAGACGGCGAGAAGGAAGTGAAGCGAGGAGAGCAGAAGGGAAGGACGCGAGGGAGGAAACGAGGTCAAAGGCTGTGAGGGAATTCCTTCCCTCTTTTCAGCCGTCAATCATTCAGCCGGTGCCAGAGATACCAAGGAACCTGTGTGTGTGTGTGTGTGTGTGTGTGTGTGTGTGTGTGTGTGTGTGTGTGTGTGTGTGTGTGTGTGTGCGTGTGTGTGTGTGCGTGTGCGAGCGATGGGCCCTCGACTTGACAATGAACCCCGTCCCTTTGCGGTCACGCCACCGCATCAGAGGGACAGAGGAGGAGAGGGGAAGCAAAGAATGGAGGGAAGGGAGGAAGAGGGATAAAGAATGGCGCAAAAAAAAAAAGGGTGGGGGGGAGGGGGGAGAGGGGGAGGGCCTTGGGCGCCAAAAACGGAGCGAGAGAAAGCGAGCGCAGAGCGTGGCAGAGGAGGCGGAGAGATGGGGAGGGCGCCGGTTTCAGAAAGGACGGATTAGCGAAGAAAGGTCTCTGAGGAGAATGGAGGGAGAGAGCGAGGGAGAGAGAGAGGGGGGTGTGGGGGGAGAGGGGGGAGGAGGGGGGGTTGGCCCCTGACCCGGGACATTATGGGAAGGGAGATTATGGTTGTTCAAAACTCTCTAAGCGCTCACCCTGGGACCCCAGCTAATACCCTGACACACACACACACACACACGACACAGAGTGTGTGTGTGTGTGTGTGTGCTCACACCAGGTGTGTCCCTCCGCCGCTGAAAGTAGTCCCCGATCCAGCGACCTCCGCCTAAAAAAAAAAAAAAACCCTGCCGCGCTCAGCTGAGGGAAATGATTGAGAGCGGGAAAGTGTTTGTGGGCGTCGAGAGACGCGCTGCGATGCCGAAAGGTGGCGAGCGAATAATAATTCCGGCCGTGTTTTTAGTATTAACGCACAAAGTTCATGAGCTCCCTTTCACAGGCGAGAGAGAGAGCGCGACATTGTGCTCGTTACTCAGGGGTGTCCGGAGGGGGGGAGGGGGGGGGGCAGTGTGTTCTCGGGGTGAGAGAAGGGGCAAGGAACGCCGCTGCCAGCACCTCCTGCTAGTCGGAACAAGAGGAGGGAGGGAGGGAAGGAGGGAGGGAAGGGTGGAAGGGTGGATGGAGAGTGATGCTTTTACAGAAAAGGTACGTAGGTGCACTTTGGCGCTGCAGGCGTCAAAATTCCTCCTTCCTACATCGTTTCCGAGTTGAAGAGGAGGAGGATGGAGGTGAGGAAGGAGGAGAGGGGGCAGTTTTAAAGTTCTAGTGCAGAGAGACGGAGACGAAGGGAACAAAGAGGAGCTGCAGAAACACGCCGACGTTGAGACGAGTTGAAAAGAGGGCGAGGAGCTTCGGAAAAATGTCACCGGGGTTTGAGAAGAAGAGTCCTCGGAGGTTCAAGGGTGCTGCCTTGAATGCTAACACCCTCACTGCACACACAGACACACACACACACACACACACACACACTACCCTGCATCTCTCACCCAACACACACACACACACACCGGCCACTTCGCTGCTACTTGTTGAGAGAAAGAAAGAGAAAACGTTAATTATTTGGCATCGTAATACAATCTGTGTGCGCTCACATACTGCTGTACGTGTGTGTGTGTGTGTGTGTGTGTGTGTGTGTGTGTGTCAGAAGTAAATCCATTCCTGGGGAATTAGCGGCGACTATGCGGCGTAACACAACGCCTCCTGAGAACATTGTGGTTTTGTAGGTGAAGCTCGGTCATACGTGGTTTTGGTCTGTAAAAGGGAGAAGAAGCCATGAGGCAGCAGGACAGGTGTAGAAGAAGGAGAGGGGGGGGGGGGGAACCAGCCCAGGAGAAACTGATCCCAGAGTACCGGGCGGTTTCCCTCGGCGACTGCATCAGTGCATCAGTGGACGTGTGCGTTATTCATTCGTGTTCGATTCAAGACGCGATCGATCGATCGTCAATCGATCGATTGATCGATTGATCGATTGATGACGCAGCCGGTGGGAACTTTGCACGTTGGTGCCTCTGAGTGGCGGCAGGAGGGAACTGCTGTAATTCACTGGACCTGAATCGTGTCTCGGACATAAAGCGGTTTCTGTTTTTACACAAGCTCTCTCGACCTGCAGCACAGCATGTGGTTATCGATGGAAAACGTTCCCCCAAATAACATGTGTTTATAGACTCTTATTTAATGTTGATTTGTGTTACGCTCGTGTGTGTTTACATCCAATGTTTCCATGAATGTACAACGTGTAGGTAGTGTTTCAGTGTGTGTGTGCGTGTGTGTGTGTCAGAGAGCTGCAGGCCCTAATGGAAGCAGACAGGTCTTTGGCAGAGTGACCGGGAAACTATTTTCAAACTGCAGATCTCTTTAAAATGGATCCGTCACTGAAATGTGCTTCTGTTGCTGCGCGTGGCGGCTTAACAATATACTGCATGAATATATATATATATATATATATATATATATATATATATATATATATATATATATATGTATGTGTATGTATATATATATATATATATATATATATATATATTCATGTGTATGTATATGTCTGTTTGGAGAGAAGACTATAGAGCAGGAGTGAAAGAACAAAAGAAGATGCAACTTTTGGGGATTTTCTTGCCAATTGTTTCTCCTCACATTTCCTCACATCTCCTCACATCTCACATTCCTCACATTACATCTCCTTACATCTCCTCCATTTCCTCACATCTCCTTACATCTCCTCACATTCCTCACATCTCCTCACATCTTCCTCACATCTCCTCACATCTCCTCACATCTCCTCACATCTTCTCACATCTCCTCACATCTCCTCCACATCTCCTCACATCTCCTCACATTTCCTCACATCTTCTCACATCTCCTCACATCTCCTCACATCTCACATCTCCTCACATCTCCTCACATCTCCTACATCTCCTCCTCTGCCGGAAGATGACGGCATCTCCTTCACGGCCCTCACGTGGCGCTTCACGACCTCCTCGCGCCAGAACATGCTCTTCTCGTTGGGACCATTTGGTCCTCGTAAGAAGCCTGTAAGCCCCCCCCCCCCCAACCCCCACACCCCCCCTCCCTCTTCATAAACTTGGCCGTGGTCCTCGCATTCCGGGAACGAGTCTCACTCGGTGTCAGATGTAACGGAGAGGAGCACCGCGAGTTCAAGCCCCGCGCGCGGCCAACATGCCCCCTCTTGTTGAACACCCCCGCGCGCACTCACGCACACACACACACACACACACACACACACACACGCACTCACATTCTATTGGCGTCTCATGTCTGTTCCCCCTCCAGACATGAAGGAAAAGCACCACTTCAAACGCACTCAAAGCAAAGACAAAAGGAGCGTCTCCGTGACCCTGATCGATAACACGAGGAGCGCGCGCGCGCGTTCCGATCACCTCAAACCCTCAACACAAACTCCAAACGTTCGGCTTCCACTCCAGACGTCAACGCTCGCGTTTCCTCGCCGTTGGACTTATTGCGGCGCAATAAAAGGAGCACGAGCAGCTGATAAGCGGCGTTATAAACTAATCAAAAGCCAAGCGGAGTCTTTGATGGCCGGTGGTCAGAAGGAGAAGCGCTGTGATCAATGAAGCCCACGACCCGAGATGCCATTGCGCGAAACGCAACCTGGAGAGACGAGATCTCGAACGACCGATAAACCCGATCGATTTCAGCCCGCGCGCGGACACCGAGCCGCCCCGCGGCGCCGCGCTTACCTGCAGGAGCCAGTGGCACGTCTCGCCGATGAAAGGGAAGCCCATGGACCCTTTGGGCATCGGCAGCTTGCAGTTCTTGTCCCGCGTGGCCGTCCACCGGAGCTGCCACAGCTGCTGGGAGACGGCGAGGAGCAGGACCATGGACACCAGGCAGGCGGCCAGGGTGGCCAGAGCCGAGACCAGGTCGAAGGTGTCGAACAGCATGGTGATGGAGAGCCCGGCGGCCTCTGCGGAGCTCTGTCAACTTTGTATTCGCGACAGGAAATCGGCCGGGATGATCTTCTTTTCTTTTTTTTCTTTTTCTTTTACAAAGTTCTGAAATGCGCCTTTACGCGCTCCAAAGCCGCGGCGGGCGCGTCTCCCGAATGAATGAGGCGCGGTGCGGTTGTGTCATTCGGGGAGAGAGTTCTCGTTAGTGTGCGGGTGGGACCCGGCCGAGCTGGGGAGATGCTGCAGGTGAGGCTCCCCGTGTCTTCGGTGTCACGCCTCCGCGCGCAAAGCGCGTCGGAACCCACTCGGATTTAATGCAAGCACTCGGGGCGGCGGGCGGACGCGGCCGGGGACGGTCCGGACGTTTGGAATCTCATCTTTGGTCTCGTTTGTGGGTCGGTGGCTTAAAAAGTGAAGCCGGCACACGTGGAAAGAAAAGTGAAGGCGAGCCCTGGAACTAACTGGGGCTTTACTTTTTAAAAACTTCCCGAGGGGTGGAGGGGGGGAGGAGGGGGAGGTCGGAGGGGAGAGAGATTAACGAAAACTCTTCCAGGGAATCGCGTCTCTCCCAGAACAAAAAAAAAAAAGAACGAGGACAGAAAAAAGGCTCTGAAGCGGAGTTGTAATCTCTCTGGGAGCAACGCGATGAAGGTGAAGACGTTTAAGATCCGTGAGCGGGATGAAGAGGTGCGCGCGGGAGATGCTCTCAGTGGCACCGTCCTCCTCCTGCGTCTCCCACTTTATGGCGTGCGCTCTTTTCTGTGCACCTTTCTGTTTCTGAGCGCTCCTCTCTCTCTCTCTCTCTCTCTCTCTCTCTCTCGCTCCCTCTCTGCTGGCGGCCTATACACCCGTAGTGCGTGTGCGTGTGGACGCGTGCGTGAAGAGTTTCTGTGTGTGCACCAATGAGTGTTTATATAGCGCGGAGGCAACTGGAAGGCGAATAGGCGGCCAAGAGCTCCCGTCGCCCCCCCCCCCCCCCCCCCACTCCCACTCCCAGCGTCGGCTGAATTGACTCCCCTCCCTCCCTCCATCCCTCCCCTCTGCTCCACCTCTTTGAGCTCCTGGAGGACCCCCCCCCCCCCCTCCCTCCCCTTCTCTCTCCTCCCTTCTCCCCCCCTTCCTCTCTTCCGTCAGAGGGAGGGGTGGTGTAAAGTGAGCGGCAAGCAGAGAGGAGGCTCGGAGCGTGCTGGAGCTGGCAGGGCGCCAGGGAGAGGGGGGGGGGGGGGTGAGAGAGGGAGGGGGGGAGGGTGGGAAGTAGGGCTTTGCTGTAACTTTTATGACCTCTGTCTCCGTGCAGGACGTGCAGACTTTAGAACGAGTCACCTGCAGACTGAAAGAAATCAGACCACCAGACTACGGCTCAGAGTCACTAATGACACATTCCATCACATTATATATATATATATATATATATATATATATATATATATATATATACATATATGTATATATTCAACTTTTTTAAGTTGAAATGATCACTCCAGGGTTGCACACGCGTGGTTCATAAACTGACTCTCCAGTTCAATGTCGAATTGTTTCCCCCCGTTTGCGTTCCCAGTGCATCCATGGGAGGCAAACTGCAGACCGCTCGCCTTTTCACACCGTTGTTCAGTTCACATCATCACCGCCTTCCTCCTGTCTCCCCATCACTCCCTTCCATCTACGTCCACCTGTCTCCCCCATCACTCCCCTCCGTCTACTTCCTCCTGTCTCCCCCATCACTCCCGTCCGTCTACTTCCTCCTTACTCCCCATCACTCCCTTCCATCTACGTCCACCTGTCTCCCCCATCACTCCCCTCCGTCTACTTCCTCCTGTCTCCCCCATCACTCCCTCCGTCTACTTCCTCCTGTCTCCCACATCACTCCCCTACGTCTACTTCCTCCTGTCTCCCCCATCACTCCCGTCCGTCTACTTCCTCCTTACTCCCCCATCACTCCCTTCCATCTACGTCCACCTGTCTCCCCCATCACTCCCCTCCGTCTACGTCTACCTGTCTCTCCATCACTCCCTTCCATCTACGTCCACCTGTCTCCCCCATCACTCCCCTCCGTCTACTTCCTCCTGTCTCCCCCATCACTCCCCTCCGTCTACTTCCTCCTGTCTCCCACATCACTCCCCTACGTCTACTTCCTCCTGTCTCCCCCATCACTCCCCTCAGTCTACTTCCTCCTGTCTCCCCCATCACTCCCCTACGTCTACTTCCTCCTGTCTCCCCCATCACTCCCCTCCGTCTACTTCCTCCTGTCTCCCCCATCACTCCCGTCCGTCTACTTCCTCCTTACTCCCCCATCACTCCCTTCCATCTACGTCCACCTGTCTCCCCATCACTCCCCTCCGTCTACGTCTACCTGTCTCTCCCATCACTCCCTTCCATCTACGTCCACCTGTCTCCCCCATCACTCCCCTCCGTCTACGTCTACCTGTCTCTCCCATCACTCCCTTCCATCTACGTCCACCTGTCTCCCCCATCACTCCCTTCCATCTACGTCCACCTGTCTCCCCCATCACTCCCCTCCATCTACGTCCACCTGTCTCCCCCATCACTCTCCTCCGTCTACGTCGACCTGTCTCCCCCATCACTCCCGTCCGTCTACTTCCTCCTTACTCCCCCATCACTCCCCTCCGTCTACTTCCCCCTGTCTCCCCCATCACTCCCCTCCGTCTACGTCTACCTGTCTCCCCCATCACTCCCCTCCGTCTACTTCCTCCTGTCTCCCCCATCACTCCCGTCCGTCTACTTCCTCCTTACTCCCCCATCACTCCCCCTCCGTCTACGTCCACCTGTCTCCCCCATCACTCCCCTCCGTCTACTTCCTCCTGTCTCCCCCATCACTCCCCTCCGTCTACTTCCACCTGTCTCCCCCATCACTCCCGTCCGTCTACTTCCTCCTTACTCCCCCATCACTCCCCTCCGTCTACGTCTACCTGTCTCCCCCATCACTCCCTCCGTCTACTTCCACCTGTCTCCCCCATCACTCCCCTCCGTCTACTTCCACCTGTCTCCCCCATCACTCCCCTCCGTCTACTTCCTCCTTACTCCCCCATCACTCCCCTCCGTCTACGTCTACCTGTCTCCCCCATCACTCTCCTCCATCTACGTCTACCTGTCTCCCCCATCACTCCCCTCCGTCTACGTCCACCTGTCTCCCCCATCACTCACCTCCGTCTACTTCCTCCTGTCTCCCCCATCACTCCCCTCCGTCTACTTCCACCTGTCTCCCCCATCACTCCCGTCCGTCTACTTCCTCCTTACTCCCCCATCACTCCCCTCCGTCTACGTCTACCTGTCTCCCCCATCACTCCCCTCCGTCTACTTTCACCTGTCTCCCCCATCACTCCCCTCCGTCTACTTCCTCCTTACTCCCCCATCACTCCCCTCCGTCTACGTCTACCTGTCTCCCCCATCACTCCCCTCCGTCTACGTCCACCTGTCTCCCCCATCACTCCCCTCCGTCTACTTCCTCCTTACTCCCCCATCACTCCCCTCCGTCTACGTCTACCTGTCTCCCCCATCACTCTCCTCCATCTACGTCTACCTGTCTCCCCCATCACTCCCCTCCGTCTACGTCCACCTGTCTCCCCCATCACTCCCCTCCGTCTACTTCCTCCTGTCTCCCCCATCACTCCCCTCCGTCTACTTCCACCTGTCTCCCCCATCACTCCCGTCCGTCTACTTCCTCCTTACTCCCCCATCACTCCCCTCCGTCTACGTCTACCTGTCTCCCCCATCACTCCCCTCCGTCTACTTCCACCTGTCTCCCCCATCACTCCCCTCCGTCTACTTCCACCTGTCTCCCCCATCACTCCCCTCAGTCTACTTCCTCCTGTCTCCCCCATCACTCCCCTCCGTCTACTTCCACCTGTCTCCCCCATCACTCCCCTCCGTCTACTTCCACCTGTCTCCCCCATCACTCCCCTCCGTCTACGTCCACCTGTCCCCCCCATCACTCCCCTCCGTCTACGTCCACCTGTCTCCCCATCACTCCCCTCCGTCTACGTCCACCTGTCTCCCCCATCACTCCCTTCCATCTACGTCCACCTGTCTCCCCCATCACTCCCCTCCGTCTACTTCCACCTGTCTCCCCCATCACTCAGAGGTCATTCAGACCTAAACGCGTTTCTAGATAATTCTCTGCTCCACGTTCTCCTTTTTCTTCTCTGCTGCTGTTGTTTTTTTCCCTCCTGTTCGTTTTTAAACCTCCACCTTTCAGCCTTTCTTTTTCCAACCCCGTCTCCTCAGCGCCGCCGCTATCTGCCTCCTCCCTCCTCGTTTCCTCCCTCCTTCACACCCTCGGGCACACGATAAGGAACCAGCGGGATTTATGCTTCCTCTTCCCCTCTCCCTCCGGGAGAGAGCGCCGGACTCCCTCTGTGCGCCGGCCCGATGGCGCCGCCTAGCGGAGAGCAAACACACGCCGGCGTTGTGTTAACACTTTGCACTTTGTGTAGAAGATGGTGCGTACATTTCCTTTCTTGCACAACGTCGATCTGATTACTGTGGATTTTGATCGTATCACACAATCTTTGTCTGGAGGTTTAAAAGTTCAGTTCTTACATTTCCTCGAGCAATTTAAGGAAAGGACTGAAAGAAGAGAAGTAAGATATCCTTCCATTTTTTGAAGGATATCTTACTTCAATTAGCATATAGTGTGTTGATGCATTTCTTACAGCTTTGTTGCGTTTATCAAAGTACTATTAATGCTTTTTTAGGTGCTTTTCAACACATTTTAGTGTCTTTTTAAGTCCGGTTCCAGTCACTAGTAAACTGTCATTGCGAAATCTTTTCAACTCTAAAACTGCACTCAAATTCTAAAAAGTAAGACTCCAAAAAACATGAAATTCTTTTTCAATTTCATTTATTATTATACAGCAAAACGCAGTAAAAGTACATTTACAACACACAGAGAAAAACACACTTTGAAATAAACACAACTCAACGTTATATATTCATAAACGCAGAGAATCAAAGATAATTTACGTGCGTACATGAAGCATGTTGGAAAGGAAACACGCCAGTGCCACAGGGATTAGTGCGAAGAAAAGACTGTAATGTGTGTAAGTCCTGCAGGTGAGCTTGGGGTGATGCGCTGCGCGTCAGCACCACGGATAGCGGCGCTCTGCAGGGCCACAATCCGGCTGGTTAACCAGGTACGTTTACCCGAGTACCGCTTTCATCTCCGCTACGATTTATTTAGAGCTTCGAACACTGTAGATTAAGATTATTAATGCAAAATATAGTAGAACTTTGTACAAATGCATGTTGTTTTCTTGTCTGGTCGTTCTGGATCATCTCAGGGTTCAGATAAACACCAAACTCACAGGCAAAAGAACCTGTGTTGTTGTTGAGTTTATTTGTTCGACGCGGGAGAAGCTGCTCTCAATCAGCCTTCGTGCTGCTGGAAGCTCCTGCAGCTGAAGGAGAAGAAGAAGAAAATCTCTCCTGGAGCTTAAGATGACCTCATCCATTCCATCACAAGGTCACGACCTCTTGTATAACGTGTCAGACTTCCACTGTTCCTGTTCCAGGTCGGGGGGGTTCGACGGCGCTCAGCCCGTTAAAGCCGTTCCGTGTGCAAGTTAGATAATTACATCCTTTGTGTGGCCGCGTGTGTGTGTGTGTGTGTGTGTGTGTGTGTGTGTGTGTGTGTGTGTGTGTGTGTGTGTGTGTGTATATATTTGAGTAAACAAAGCTGCTTTATCTTTACATTCCACTGCGATGTTGATTTAAACTTTTATCTTTTTACCTAAACACACACAGAGACAGTCTCACTGTCTCCCACTTCCGCCAGACAGTAGACTGTTGCGTGGAGAAGTGTGTGTGTGTGAGACCCAGGGGGTGTGAGTTGGCTCAAAAAAATATTTATTTGTCTCCTCTCGACCTGGA